TATTAGCAGTTATCTTAGAGATTAGTGTGCGACAGTATTATTCAGGAAGTATAATATGGTGAAGCAAACTTAAAAAAAGATAAAGCTGATGAGGAATTAAAAAATGTTACGCTTTAATAGAACACAAAGAATGAATGCACTTGCGCCATTGCAAACGGTTTTTAGCCGTCATTCAGGGTCTCTGACCACCGAATAATATCATCTTGAGGGCCCCAACCAAGTAGCCGACGCCTGCCAACATGGCTTAATCTAGCTGTCAGTGGCTTCACTGATTTTCGCCAAGTTTTGGTCTGGCCGCCCCTAGCTTTTCTCCAACCTATTCCTTCATCGCAAAGCATAGCTAAACGAGGCATATAGCATACATCCAAACCACCTCAACTGATGAGTCTCAGTACTTAATCTGTTAGTCTGCTACTCTTACCTAAAACCCGCTTCCTAACGACAGCATTGCCTACTTGGTTGTCCCATGATATACGAACAATGCTTTGGAGACACCTATGATCGGAAGCCAGCAACTTACAAATACCTTTTACTCTGACTGGCCATATTTTGCATTCTTATAGTAGGATGGATTGAACTTATTTGCAGTACATTCGTCCTTTGGTTAGCGAACGGGCATGTTGTCTACGCCTTGGGTGATGCAAGTTGGAGGAAGCCAATCTAGCCATCTGTATCCATTCATCAGTCATCAGAACATCAGAACTGATGAGACTCCCTAGATAAGTAAAGCGGTTGACATGCCCAACTACTTCACCCCTACCACTAGTTCAGCTGCCGATGCAAGCCAATCGTGAAGCGACTTTTCTCATTTCGACGCGGAGAATCGTATCCCTAACATGCTTGCATTGTTGCTTAGGGTAGCCCAAAGACTCTGCATTTTGTCAGCGTATTCACCGAGCAGAACTATGCCATCGGCATATTCTACGTCAGTCAGTGGATCTCCTTGTAGAAGGTCCACTCCTAAAAATTCAGACGAAGATGATGTATATCTAGAAGCATGTCTGCGAAGTGTTAACATGATAAAGAACACTGAAAACTGATCAACGATGGATATCCGCCTTAATTGATTGAAGTAATTCAGGAAAAAATAACAATGAAAACTTGTGTCTAAGTAGGCTGTTCAAGAAAATTCAACTTATAGGAAATACTGCAGGATAAATGATGAAAAAAAACTTTTGTGACCATTGAAAAAACATTTCTTCTCTACTTCATAGTATTGTTTGTGGTCGGCCGAGGATTTATAGTCGTGTGATAGGTTTGTTCCTAATTTGAGTCCAATCAATGCGCATCTTCGTTCCTATGGAACAAACTGTATCGGCCACATTTAGCCCCAGCACTTTTGAATTGCATCTCCGAGCATCACCTACCTAGCTTCCTAAAGGATCACAGAAGTCGGTCAAACGATCATTTAATCAACAAACATCTAGCCGCTAATCACTCCACCTTACCAGAAACCCCTCTCAAGATCAGGTTTTCATTAATGATTCATGACAAGACACCACTTTAACTTTTTTCACGTCACTCTGTTTTACCATAGGCTACTGTTTTGGCAAAAAAATTAAAGATAGATAAGACTATACATCTTAGGTAAATAAAGTAATCGCATTTCGTCTACTGAAAGTAAATAAGTCAACACAATTTCTAATTACGAAGTACTTAGTCAACTTTGTCAGACCTAGCTGTGTTTATGGAGTTCAAAATTAAGCGTTTTATTGTCTTCAAACATTATTTTATTTCTTCTTGGATACTTTACCATATACTTGAATTAAAACTTAGATTTTTTTATCTACTCTTAGATTGTCGTATGCTGAGAGATGCGGAGAGAAAAGCAGCCATTTCATTCTTTGGGGCTGATTCCACAGCTGATATTTGTCCTTTATCCATGTTAAGAAAACTCGATGATATGAAATCATCTAGAACTAATAAAGCAAGACTTGACCATAGTCCACACTTTTTCGAGAAGGCAGACCACCTATTAAAATGTTATCAAGAACAAAATAGTTCTTCAGTAAATCTGGATGCATGGTCAAGTGATGGTCACATTAATTTGTATGATGTGGATGCTTATGACCCAACAGCTAAATCACAAGATCCATGGACAAATAATATTTTGCGTGCTAGCTCAAAACCAAGAATAATACCACCTCCAATTACTCCTCCTAGAAGTGTTAAACATGCCGAGTTCTATAACTGCAAAGGTAATGAATGATCTGTTGATTATCGTCTGTATTTTAAAAATACAACTTGCAGTGTTGATCAATGACTGATCATTCATTTTCTGGTTGTGACTATACTCTATGGGAGGCTAGTTAACTCTGTGTAGAGCAAGATTAAACCAGTTGTCTACTGTTTGATATAAATATTTTTTCATATGGGCACTTGTTTAGGAGTAAATGATCGACTATCGTAAGTTCTCGATGACTAAACAAAAGATTGTTTATGACTGTGTTGAATTTTGTTCACCGTTTAAGTGTGTTTTGGAGTAAATAGTGGGAAACTTTGATAAACTAGTCTTAAAAACAGTGGAAGCTTTTTGGAATCTTCAATCCACAGACCTCTCAGAAGTATAAGAACCAAAACTAACCAACTTTGTTTTTGTTAAATTATAGAGATTCAAATCCATGAATTTTTGTTAAACGACAAAACAAATAGGTAGGTGGGTACATGGACATAACTAGGCTGGATAAATGAATAAAAGACCTCTGGAAAATAAGGAGTACTGGCTATTTGTTTGATGTACAACTGATCAAATGGTTTAGATTGCTAAAATTTTCCAACTCTAAACTACTTAATCACAACACCTATAGTCGGATATAGTGAAGAAGTGATAAATTTTAAAAGAAGAAAGCATGTAAACACATATCATATTTATTTAGAGAATATTTAGATTTTCGTCCTAGAAAGAGCTAAATTTATTTACTCATACTGCATACGGTGCATCTTGCTTTATGGACTGATGTGATTCAATAAATCACTGATAATCAAAGAATATCAGAAAAACATTTCGACGTTTTGTGTGGTTCATTAACAGTGTGTACCTTCAATATAATTTAAGGAGGAATTCTAAACCTTTGTTTTCTTCGAAAACGAATGAATTCGATCACTAATTTTAAATCAAGTCCGTCGAACTTCCACACTTTTCCCGTTTGTGATATAGTGCCACAACTATCGAATCCCACTGATAGGTAGAAGTCTTTCTCCAACCGAACCAAGGAAGAAATTCACTACCCAAGAAAATTAGACTAACATCTATAACATTTCATTCTTTTAAGTCAAGAACTAATCTCGGCTAGACCACCACTGAAAAGACCTTGGAGTACTGGCTGGCCATTCCGTCCAAGTACGAGAGTCCCCACTAGTGAGAATCCACAATCACGCCCCGGAAATTGAACATAGAACCATCATAATCTCAAGATCACGCTCAGGCTCTAGACTATAGTGACTGTATTTTATGGTGTTCGTATCTAACCCCGACTAATCGACGATATAGGACATCCTTTATCCATTTTCTTTGGTGCATAACTGTCTCCTACCCTGCATGGCTGAACTCTACTCTCTATAACCATGGAAGTTAAAAACTAAATGATTAACATAATAGGTTTCTGTAGGTTGTTGAACATAATTAGCCAACCACTAAAAGTTAGAAAGCGCTAGACAAAGCGACCTTTGAGAACTAGGGGTTCTGAGTTTGATTCCTTATGAGGAGTTATAGATGCTTACTTTTGAAGAGTTTTTTTGTACTAAGAACGAAGTAGCCATCCAGTGCTTCTGATTTTAATGGATCTCTGACTGATGAAAACAGATAAAATATTGACAAAAATGTTTAGGTTAAACAATCCGTCGCATTGTTTTACTTTGCCTAATAACATTATTCAAATTTCTCCAACCAAAACAAACATTGGTTGATTTTTAAAGTCTACATTGTCAATTAAACTGATATTGGAGTTTATTTTTTCTAAACTTATTGTTGGATTAATTCAGTTGAACCAAAAACCTCAGCGTCTTATTTACATTGTTTACTTATCTAGTTATAATACTCTGTTTTTTTTATAAAACAGAAAGCTGAATGACATATCTATCATTGTTTTAAAAAAAACACCTTTTGTAATAAGTGAATTTTTGTTAATGTTTATTTACTATTGCCTAGTAATGTTGAACTGTTGCATTAAAATTCCGGAAATATATATATATATCCAATCAATAAATAAAGTCTATTCGTTGACTAATGAGAATCTCAGAGTGACTCATTTCATCTGAAATTTATAATAGGTAGAGAAAGAAGTTTATAAAACTTTTGGACAAAAAAGTTTTCCTATCAAATAAAATAATTTTAAAATGATACTATTTTTCTTTTATTAGAATAAAACAAAAATAGGCATCAATATATGCATACAAAATTAAAAATTTTACTAGTGAATCAATACGGAGGATTAAATGATAAGGTAGTAGTGATATCGAGTTCTCTTTAAGGTATGAAGGCGGTTGTTCTTGTTCAGTTGTCGAAACTGTCGAAGTTTACTGCTTTCTTAGATGATTGAAAATATGACCACAGTATCCTACAGGGAAAATATATGGAACGAGTCAAACATGGTCTGACTGAGAGTTTTCCATGTATTAGCTCTTTACTTCAAAGGTATTTCAACCGGATACGAAAACTAACTTCAGTGATTAGGTCGAATATCCTGTAAGCAAAACCATCAGTTCACCGTTAAGTTTTTATCAATATTATCACATGTTTTTATGACTGTGTTACGCTCGTCTCTACGCATGCTTAAACTATAATGAGTTCACCTTAGTCGAATAACGAGAACGAGACAATGAACCAGCGTCAAGGTAGGCTACTGTGATCCCTTGACCAAACTGAATCAGCAAGAAGTCTTGATATAGTGTAGAAATTGTATTCTACAAACACCCAGCAAGCACACAAGGAATCCAAGCACTCTAATTGCGTTTATTTATACTCTATAGAGACCTCCTTGGGACCGGCACAAAAATAGCACACTAAAATGACACAGTAACCAATCACAGCCAAGGATTTTCCTGGTAGGAAATGTGATCTCAAGGTCAACTGATCGGTCCATGAAATAAATCCAGAATAAAGATAATTATCAAGCGAGTTCTGGGGATCAAACATCCCCAACAGACTGTCACTTTGTTTCTGTGTGTGTGGCATATTTTCTTTTCTTATTTCTGTATGTAGACATAGATTGATGTAGTGTGCATTAACTTACGTAATTACTTTGACTAAAATCATTCATTAACCTTAAAATGTATTGAAATTCACAACTTGGTTAAAAAGCATATCAAATTATTAGATTACATAGTTGATATCACGGACCGATTTTAGTAAGAGAACCGATGCAAAACCAAGACTACTCTGCAGCTACTTTTTTATCAGTATGAGACTCCTCAACAATGCAAATAGATGAAACTGCCTTTTAACTGTCACTGATTATCAATCATTGCCTAGTTTAGGTTAGTCTATGGTATAAAAAAACACTTTGAATTCTAATAATCTTTATCAACACTTCACATTAATGGTAAGTGGATTGATTTTGTGATATAACGACGTAGTTTGAGTGACTAATTAATTCTTAAAATACTGCTCATTAGTGATATTTCGTCTTAAATATCTATGAAAAGTAGTGGGTGTTATTATATCGCATAAACAGTTATCTGTACATATTCATTAGTTCACTGATTTTCTCTTTTTTGAAAATATTTTTATCAAAAAAAGTAAGTTATCATTGGTTTTATTGTCATTAGAAAAACATTGGCCATTGAATCTCCTTATCCTCAACTGTTTTTTAATAAATTCATCATCATAATCATAGAGTTTTTTTTTCCTCAAAATTTCCAATCACTTAAATAATCTTTGCTCATATACTACTGATGTTCCTGTTTTTTTGTTCATATAGAACGACTACAAACAGAATTAGAATTTACTATACCTGGCAGAAAAGATCATATTGACGAAAGTGAATCAATTATGGAGAAGAAAAATGGTTATCAATCTCATAAGGTACTACTAGTATACATGTAATATATATTTGTAAATGTGATGTTTAGGGCTGACATTATTAATCTTACATATTTATCAAAATTACTATAATTATCAGGTTTTTATTATTTTATCCAGTTACCTTCGCTGTAATGTCAAAGACCTATTACTAGAAGTCAATCAAGTTCTCAATCAGATATTGTGCTGTACAATGACCGTATTGAGTACAAACTGCTCTAAAGCTATATATATATATATATATATATATATATATATATATATATATATATATATATATATATCTGTTTTTGAGAAGTTCCAATAAACACCAAAAGTGGGCTTAGGATATCATGTCGATTGTCGTAAATCAGTAAAGTGCATTAGGTTGCGCAGAAACCTTAGATCAATGATAGTTAGACACTAAAACCGTTGGATACCGGCTCTGTGATCTAGAAGGCAGTCATTCGCATACGAGGCCGAAGATCCTGGGCTCAGTTCTCTCGATTGAGAGTCGTTGATGTGCACTGTTAAAGAGTTACATACTAAGACGAAACGGTTGTTTATTGCCTCTTGGTTTTTAATGTTGGTCTAACTCTTGATCTAATTCTTGAACGTGAATGTATCCCAATGGATACCCAACTTATCATTGAAAGTTGTTTAACAGTTATTTAAAACATGTATGAATATTAGGTAATGATTGTGTAAACTACTCACCAGCTATTGTAACGAAGAACGAATTGTTTAATTTATTATACAACTATCATATCATTCATGTCGATTGTTCACTTGTGAGAATTGTGAGAGTGGTGTTTTTGATAATAATGATAATTTTACATCATTAGTGACTACAAAAATGTGATTTCCAAAGAACTTAAGAAACTTTTCTTCTTTCTGTTGGGGATGTTAGGTCCCCAGAACTCGCTTGATAAATATTTTTATTTTGGATTTATTTCATGGACCGATCAGTTGACCTTGAGATTGTAGCATCTCATCATTCATTCATTGTACTTTCGTTCCAATTAATCGATAACTGTATTGACCATAATTTTGTATTTAAATAATTCGATTACAGTATCGATTATCCTATATATATATACATATTTTTTCATTGTGTGCTGGCTGTTTTTGTAGAATACAATTTCCGCGCTTAACAAGACTTCTGTTTTGCAGTTTCGGATTCAAGGCGACCTACCTGGACGCTGGTAATTGTCTCGTTCGCGTTTACCGACTAAGGTGAACTCGTAATAGCTTCGAGCGTACCAAGTGACGAACACAACAACTGGCGACGGTGGTTTCGGAAGCATGGATCCTGCCAAACTTGAATTATTACTTGAGAAGCAGTTATAACTGGTGCAGATGCTGACAGACATCTTCCACACAGCCAAGCTCATCTAATGCAACCACAGCTCCATTAGTCGACGGCATCGCGAATAGCATGGCTGGATTTCATTGCCATCCCGACGCAAATGTTACTTTTGACATGTGGTTCCGGCGTTATGAAGATTTATTTAAATTCCATTTCGCCAATCAAGATGATGCTTGAAATGTTCGGCTGCTCCTTCGAAAGTTGGGTGCAAGTGAGCTGGACAAGTACTGCGATTTGATCCTGCCTTTGAACCCATGAGATCTTTCATTTTCTGAGATAGTTCAGACATTTAGCCAGCACTTTGGGGACAACTCGTCACTGTAATACTTGTTATCGATGTTTGAAGCTGGTTATGAACGAAGATGTTGATTTTATTACGCATGTGGGTATCGTCAACCGTGAATGCGAACGCTTTCGGTTGAAGTCTTTGTCGGAAGATCAGTTTAAAGCCTTTATACTCATCTGCAGCCTCCAGTCCCATAAGTTCAGTGACATTAGAACAAGGCTACTATGTCGGTTATAGCAAGATCCGAAGCTCACTCTTAGTGACATGGCAAATGAGTACCAAGGTCTCATTAACCTACAACGAGACTCACTATAGTGCAGAATGGTAGTTCAAGCTGATCTGAAGTACATTTGGTACAGCAGACACCTAATGATAATTAATCTGCCCATGCTACAACCAGTTCATCCCACTCCAGCTCTGCCCAAAAGTCAAAAATGAATCCCCCTGCCGCCTGCTGGCACTGCGGCTCATGGCACTATGTACGGAACTGCCCATTTAGACAGCATCGATGTAGGAAGTGTAATGTCATCGGTCATAAAGATGGTTTTTGCCTAAAGAAAAAGCCGAACCGATCCAGAAGTGCCAAGAAGTCTGTTCCTAGATCCGGTACCGATTCATTGAGCCTAATATCTTCCTGTCAAAGCTCATCACCAGGTGAGAGGAAATTTATTACTCTTAATGTTAACGTGCATTTGTGTAGATTACAAATAGATACCGCATCTGATGTCACCATCCTCTCACGCAAAAACTGGACCAAATTGGGGTAGCAAAAGCCTGCAGCACAACACAGAAGCCTCGTACAGCATGTGGTAATTACCTTCGTCTTTTAGGACAACTGGAATGTAAAGTTGCCTTCCGAGATTCGTCACTTACTGGGGTATGTTATATAAATCCAACTGATCTAAATTTACCTGGTTGAGATTGGTCTGACCAGCTGAAATTGGCTGATGTCCCGTTAAATACCGTATGCCACGTGGTATAACAACCACATGACCCTGAATCATATACGAGGAAGTTGATTTGTTGCGAAGACGTTAGAACAGCTACGGGAACGCACGACATTGGTACTACAACGCATCAGTGACGACGGCTTCCGGTTACGCCCAGAAAAATTTCAGTTTAAATTGGAGTCAGTAAAGTACTTGGGATTCATCTTTGGTGCTGACAGCCGCAGACCGGATCCTGAGAACATCCGAGCTATCAAACTGATGCCCACTCACACTAATGTCTCGGAATTACGATCTTTTCTCGGACTAATCAGTTATTATTCAGCATTTGTTCCTTCGATGCATGACATTTGTCCATTGAATTGTCTACTGCAGAAGCATAGCACATGGAATTGGACCAAAGAGTGTGACGCGGCTTTTGGTAAACTCAAGTCCATAATCAGCTCGGAATTGTTATTAACACACTACGATCCATCCATGCCAATCATCGTAGCAGCAGCATATGACCTAGGTGCTGTTATTTTACATCAGTTTCCAGACGCGTCAGAAGAAGCCGTCATGCATGCATCCCGTACACTAACCCAAGCAGACGAAAAGTACAGCCAGATAGAGAAAGAGGCTCTTGCCCTTGTGTTTGCTGTTCACCGTTTTCACAAGTTCCTGTACGGTCAGAGATTCACGCTCCTCACAGATCACAAGACTCTGTTAACAGTATTCGGTTCTAAATCTGGCATTCCAGCCCATTCTGCAAATCGTCTTCAGCGATGGGCCTTGGTACTTTTGGGGTATGATTTCGAAATCCAGTATCGACGAATTCTACAATTAGGTCAAGTGGACACTTTGTCACGACTCATTAATGATCAAGTGGAGAAGACCACGCAGAATGTTATCTGACAACCGCAATTCGCGCATTACCGGTGTCTGCAACAGATATACAAAATGCTTCTAGAGACGACCCCATCATAAAGATGACGATGAAATATGTCACTAACGGTTGGCCTTCGAAGAAGTTTTAAGATGACATGAAGTAACTGTATCAGCGGCCGGATTCACTATGCATTGTGAACGATTGTTTAATGTTTGGGGAATGAGTATTTTTGCCAGAATCCCTTCGAGCAAGTTCTGAAACAGTTTCATCTCGGTCATCCAGGGGTTAAACGAATGAACTCCATAGCCAGGATTTATGCATACTGGCCTCATATGGATCAACATGTCACAGCGTTGGTTGAAAAATGCATGCGCTGTCAGCAAGCGGCAAGGATGAATGCCAAAATGCCCCCGGTTTCATGCCCCAAACCTGAACATCCTTGGTCCAGGATACATGTCGACTTCGCTGGTCCAATTAATTAAACTATGTACTTAATTGTGGTCGACGCCTCCTCTAAATGGCCGGAAATCAGTCCCATTATGCCGCCCACTACAACTGAAATTTTCTCACGAAATGGCATACCAGATGTGGTCGTATCTGACAATGAGTCTCAATTTACTTCCATACAATTCCAAACTTTCTGCCAACGACTAACAATTAAGCACTTAAGCTCGCCACCATACCACCCGCAGTCGAATGGGCAAGCGGAAAGGTTTGTGGATACGTTTATAAAAGAGCATTGGTTAAGTCAAAAGAGGAGGGGACACCAGCTGATGCGTTACAAAATTTCTTGTACGCCTATCGAACAACACCAAATGAATTGTTACCGGAGCAAAAGTCCCCAGCAGAAATCCTGTGTTCACCCGTGACTACAGAAGAAATCATGGTCCCTGGGTAGAAGCGAGAGTGGTCATAAAAGTTGGGCGAGTTATGTACGAAGAAGAGGTCAGGAGCGATAGGTGGTCACGCCATCGAAACCAGATAGGCAAACGGCTAGCACCAGATCGTCCTTCAATAGCGGGAAATCTCCCCCTTGACATTCTGCTTTATACCTTCAACCTACCAGCAGCCACCTTACGAGAAGAAACTCAGTCACAAGCTGATCTCCGTTCCAGAAGGTATCTTGACAGACAGCGGCGAACAACAGTCAATATGCAAGTCGACCCCAGGCTATTAAAGAGTGAGGAGTGTTGGGGATGTTAGATCCCCAGAACTCGCTTGATAAATATCTTTATGATTCATTTCATGGACTGATCAGTTGACCATGAGATTGCAGCATCATCATTGTAGTTTCGTCTGAATTAATCGATAACTTTCATAACGCCGGAACCACATGTCAAAAGTAACATTTGCGTCGGGATGGCAATGAAATCCAGCCATGCTATTCGCGATGCCGTCGACTAATGGAGCTGTGGTTGCATTAGATGAGCTTGGCTGTGTGGAAGATGTCTGTCAGCATCTGCACCAGTTATAACTGCTTCTCAAGTAATAATTCAAGTTTGGCAGGATCCATGCTTCCGAAACCACCGTCGCCAGTTGTTGTGTTCGTCACTTGGTACGCTCGAAGCTATTACGAGTTCACCTTAGTCGGTAAACGCGAACGAGACAATTACCAGCGTCCAGGTAGGTCGCCTTGAATCCGAAACTGCAAAACAGAAGTCTTGTTAAGCGCGGAAATTGTATTCTACAAAAACAGCCAGCACACAATGAAAAAATATGTATATATATATAGGATAATCGATACTGTAATCGAATTATTTAAATACAAAATTATGGTCAATACAGTTATCGATTAATTGGAACGAAAGTACAATGAATGAATGATGAGATGCTACAATCTCAAGGTCAACTGATCGGTCCATGAAATAAATCCAAAATAAAAATATTTATCAAGCAAGTTCTGGGGACCTAACATCCCCAAAACTCCTCACTTTTTTAATAGCATACGCTCTTGTGGTCGACTTGCATGTTGACTGTTGTTCGCCGCTGTCTGAGAGGATACCTTCCTTTCACCGCATATTTTTGTTGAGCAGTCATCTTTGTGCAATATTCAATATCAATGCCCTTGGTAAACAAAAGCAGCCATTGATGATGCAGGTCCTGTAAACTGCAAATGTTAGCGTTTCAAACTTTTAGCAATGACAGAAAAAGAATGTAGCTGCCGCCACTGTAAAGTTACAAAACGACGCCGTCAACCAAAAGTATATTTCAGTAAATTCAGATCTTGAAACACCACAGCAACCATAGCTCTCAACCTATGGGCTCAAACAATCGCAGGAAGCATGTTTCCTTCATATTCAGTGAATAATGTGCCAACATGCAACTTGATACTGCCTCGGATACAGCACTCATCAGTGGAACTTGGAGCATATCGGAAAACTTCTTCTATTCAAGTCAACAGTCAGACCATAATGTTTTGAATGGGTAGGTTGAATAAGGTTGGCGAAAAACATTAGGGAGTAACTGGGAAAGATAAAACATATAGGGGCATTCTATGTCTTACTAGACTTACTAGGACTTGATTGAGCTGAGAAGCTGTTGCAACCTTACCAACATTATGCGAGATAACCACAAAAGCGAAGAATGAGCCGACATAAAAAAGTATTTAATGATAGCCTCGAGTGTACAAAATGGGGAGCTATTCTCATACTGATTGGAATCAAAGCCAGCACTTCAACCGAGATCTGTATCTAATGCTGACCTTCTAGTGGTTGAACAACAGCTGTAGCGAATTCAAAATATATGTGTTAGTAAAACAATGAACTTCTCAGAATGGTCTGCACTGACAGTGGTAGTTAACTTGTGTGTTGATGACTTGACCCGTTTCAATGAGGCCCCATAAAACCATCAGTATTATTTGCCTTTACTTGATGATCCTTCCGCTAAACCAAGTGAGGATAAGCTTTTTGCGAAGTTAAATTTATCAAACGCCCATTAGCCAACAAATGTAAAGAGCTTCTCACTAATAATGCAGCCGAGTACCCTTTGGTATCAAGATGGCATTCTCCATGCTCCAACAAATTATGGATACTATTTCACTGAAGGAGCTCTTACAGGTTCGCCAGACGAAACTTTGGAATTAATGAAATGATTTGAACTTTAATTTCTGCATATTATGATAGAGATTATGTTGTGTTAACTTCAGGCTCTGGCTGCCTGTGATTTCTACCAAGCGTGAAAATAGTCAGATTACACTCAGCTTCTAAAGAAGTCTACTTCTCTACAATAATATACGGTTTACACAATGTTTAGTAAACACTTAGTCCATTCACATATTCTGTATTTCATATTTTACAGGAATCCAGTGAACGATGTTTGTCTGTTGTTCCTTCAGATGACAAATTAGGAGACGGTGAGTTCATTAATTGTTTTCATAAGTTTTAAAATCCGATTTATTAGATATAATATCTATAGTGATTGTTATGTATGTAAATTGTATTCTGCAATTTCTAATATTCCATTGAAACCTTTAAAGTATACTAATATTTCACGAACTTTTTCGCGCTGTGAAATACGTGATAATGTGGAGGACAGTAATCGCTATGGTGAATGCCTAACATCATGGCTTTGATAAACAAAATTCTGAACTTAAATTACTATTATACTAAATTTTCCTTGCGATTATTCAACAGTTGTCAAAACCAGTTAGTTAGTTATCTTGAATTTTAAATGTCATGGACTATTTGTTTGTTATCTTTTTAAGGTAGGAGGATACTGCAAAGCTTTTGAGTGTTGTTGTTAAATACACTGATTCTAATACACTTATGCTTTGTTCTGACAGAGTTTGATGAGGTTGATGATGATGTTTAGTCTGAATTGATTATATGTAATGAAAATAAAAATTTGGTCAATTATTTGCCCAATTTCAAATATCTATTCAACATCCTGTTTGTAATGAAGTTGAATGGTGCATCAAGCAACTAGAAAACATCTTCCGAAATCCTACATAACAACAGATACAAATAAGAGGAGAATAGTAAAAATGAATAACGAATAAATAAGAATTTATCAATCATGAAAGGTTAAGAAACATATCGGCAGTCGGTAAGTTTTCCTATGTTCATCAACCTGACAAGAGATGATTACCTCATCGAAAGATTCACATCCACGCCTGAAAGCAAGCGTTATTTGCCAAATTGATTTCTCTGTGGTTATCCCAAGTGTGTTAAGTTTGAGAAGGAAAAATATTTAAACTCGTCTACTGGACTGTAAATAAAGCAAGTAAAAATAACACTTGAAGGTTTAGTTGAAAGTTCATTCATTCTCAAGACCATATACCTTGAAGTTATAAAAAAAAACCTTCGTAAAGGATATGATCACATTTGTTTCTTGGATTCACAAAACAACACAGGTTGCTTATAAGTACATTTTAAGGATACTTAACATTGATGCGACAAGAATACTTTGAACTTGCACCTTTTTTCCTACAGGTCCTCGTATACCACCAAGAGGAAAACGTTTCACTCCATCTTCCATACTATCGTCTATTGGTAGTATGAAAAAAACTTCAGTGGAGCATGACAAAAGTCAATGTCTCACAGAAATCAGCAAGCATTCCGAATCTTCATGGATGAAAAATGATTATGTAGACAATAATTATTCCACTGAAAAAATAGATCATGCATTTTTCCTCATCATGAAAGTAAGAATATTATTTCATGAAAGTTATTTTTTTTTGTTCAGTATGTTTAAGAAAATAGAAAAAAAAAACATTTTTGGAATAATGCTACAAATATTGATAAGACAATATAACTATTTACTAACTAACTAATTAACCAATAATAAACAAGGCGAAGTAATAATAATAATAATAATAATAATAAACCATAAGTATAAAATCTCTCTCAGTAACACCCAACTATTCCTATTGCTTAGAATTCTCCGACAACAATACACTCTATAAGTCCCCAAATCAGAACATAGTGGAACAGGTTAAATAGAAGTTGGAAGCCGAAGCGAAGGCGAAATAGAAACAACATTAGTATCTTTATAGTTTTTTACATGAAGAGCTTCTGGAATCTAATGCACGTGATCGATTAGATTTCTCCAATCAGCGTGCAGCTAACGACACGAGTATCGATATCCCAGTATCGATCAGGCGCTGATTGAATGGGAATTTGCCAATCAGTGCGCAGCAAACGCAGTCATGCTTTATTACATCTATGTCCCACTAACGCAGACCAAGAGGGCCTCGTCAAAGTCACGGTGAGCAGATCAAATAGCTGTTGTTATATATGTTAGTTTAAGACAAAGAACATATACGGGAAAAAAGAAATGAGTCCAATGAATATGATAGATTAGTTCGTGTACCAAGATGAGGTAGAACAATGGATGGTTAATAGCTCTATTTGTAAAAATAGGAGTTGTATTTCATACTATACCCTTTCTTAGTTCTGAACCAACTGATAATTGCTCCTAAAGATTATTTTAGTTTTTAACTTATTATATTAACCATTCATCTTATATAGTTATGATTTTGAAGTTGAGAACTATTTGTATTTCTAAATCATCATTGTAAATCTAATTTCTTCAACGATTAGTCTGTCAGAGATTGTTATCACATCTTATTTTAAAATGGGTTCGAATCGTTTTCACCTGCTGACTTTTTTCTAGTTTACATCTTATATAGACTGACTGACTTTAGTCAAACAATCAATGACACCTGTGAAGTATTTGTTGCGTTGTTGATGCCACCTTGTCAAGACTTCTACACTAAAATGAAATAAACATTACACTTCCTGACTGTTTTAATTGGTTGTCAATGAAAATTGAATTCATGATTTAAACTTGAAATAGTCAATTTTCGACATCACAGCAGCAAAGATGCGATGACTTTTAAGGGAATAAGACAAATATTGCGTTGAGTCAGAATATTTAGAATAATGAAATTGTAATATAAGTTGAAAAACAAAACAGTTAAACAATAATGTGAAGAATTGTCAAACTGAAATTGACCGATATTAAAAATTCAATCACTGTAATGTACTACTTGTAATAAAAAAATCTCTATCTACATTAGTCACACACATGAAGGATAGAATGAAGTTCTGCTTAGAAATTACCTTTCTGGAGTGTCTTTCTCCCTATTTATCTCAAATGTTTTACTTGACCAAAAGAACCTCGTATAGTGTTTGTTTGAAGGGCTTATGAATGTTAGTTTAAATCAGGGTCGGGTTTTATTAGGGATATTGATATAAAGTGAGTAATTAGTAAAATGTATTGAGAACTAAACTGCTAGTATACTTTAACCTATTACGTTTCGAAGCTGTGATTTCACTCCAAAGCTCACCATTAAATTTCTGAACTCGTTGCAAGTCTATTACCTATAGACTACTGTATCCAATTATCGGTAATCCCATCTTCAATCAATTCATGGTTTCATTTTAATCATAAGTCGACCGAAAATCGATACCGTCAAGTATCGTGTCCTCGCTACTAACCAGCTTCTTGAGGAAATCCTCGAAGTTATTATAGTGAGAAACTAAGACCAATGGAGATAGACTGTGTCGGGTGTGAGGCAGTTCTCACCAAATTGATTGAAGTTAGACATCAACATCGTTGAATACCGACTCAGCGGTTTAGATGTTACGCGTTCACATGAACGAACATGGGTTCAATTCATGGTCGCAAGTTTGTGTACGTGCGCTACTGCTCAGTCCCATAACAGGTTTTCGGTGGTGGTCTATTATTGATCGATTCATGATTTCACTAACCACACAAAATACCAACCAGATAGCGTAAAAAAAATACAATGAAAAACAGCTACTCATATAATTTGCTAGTAGTACTTTTCTAAAGTGAAAAAATGGCTTATATCAAGCTGTTCATCAAAAGTCTACTGGTTGTTTATGTTTGGAAAAAAATTGTTTAATTTAGCCCATTTATAGATTTTTATTTTGATTCATTTGTTGTTTTTTTTTATTCTGTGGCTATTTCCACATGAATTCATTGTTTAAATTAACTGAAATTTGATTTATGCAAAAATTAATACAAATCCATTAAGAAAAATGACTTTTGTACATAAAGGAAAGCTTAGCTTAGCTTAGCTTAACTTCTCTTCTCCATGCACATTAAATGATGAAAGGAGAATGCAAATTCCGGTTATGTATTATAAAATTCATTGGCATTCTTCTACTAGGAGGATAAATCTGTATCCTGATACAATTGCCTATCACACGGTATCCATTGGAGACCAGTTAATGCAGATGTATTTTAATTTTTAATAGCATTCATTACAAGGAATGTTGAAACGACGAAAAATCGTTTGAATTAAAGAGTAAAGAAGCTTGAAAGATAATTCTGGATTTTGATCATCATCCAGAGAGAGAGAGAGAGAGTGATCTTTGAATTAGTTCATAATCATGGACACAAGCTAAATTCATTGGTGCATCTTCTCTATTGTGAATAACATGTTCTTCTGAAAGAGTTATTGACTTGATTTTAACATCACTAGATAAATTATTAATAAACTTATATTGTGTGGCGTGACTTAACACTGAGATAGATGCTTATTTTGTATTCCTTCCCCTTGGGTTTTCTTTGCTTGTTTTACTGTCAGTATTGAAATCTTTCCTAGTTGGGAATCTCGGTTCTTATTATTGATTTGATATAGTTGGGGAAAAAAAGAAAATTGGTTTTTACTTGTGAATCAAGTTAATTTGACTTATAGATAGACAAAAACGTTACTTCGTTTGAATAAAAATACGTTTTAAATTTGTCGGCATACATCCTCTAAGTATATATATATATATATATATATATATATATATATATATATATATATATATACGTAAAGAATATATAGGTGATTTTTAAATGTGAGTACTAGAATCGCGTCAACGCCCTCACTTAAAGTCTACACTTTTGCGTATCATGGTATGTGGAATTATTAATTTTAAACTGATAATTATATATATATATATATATATACCTTGAAAGAATATATCTTAGCTATTTCAACTGTGACACATTATGAGCTCTCGAATGTATAATTAAATGAATTATTTACAATGATTCTTCGGCTATTGTCATCAATCTGTGAAACGAAATGCTAGATATATATTTTCTTATAGTTAATCACGGAAAAATCATCTTGCACCAGAATTCAGTCCGGAATTATCGCATTTGCTTAAAGTTCTCAATAAGCGCTAAGAAGATAATGAGTGTCCCTACCATCTCATAAAATCCTAAATAATTCATACGTAATTTTTACACGATCCTGAAATCAGCCATAAAAAATCAACATACTAAATGAATAAATAGCCCATCATTAGACATGAAACATGATTCAAAGTAGTCAGGGTCTTTGAGTCATGGAAGATTCGTGGAACACAAACATTGTAATTTAAATTGTGAATGATGAAAGTGTTAGGATATTCATCCAATATCCTAAGATAATTATTTTGTGAGTCTAATTCTATTGGTCAATTCCTGTCGGTCGTCCTCACTATCAAATGTTGCTTCCTATTCGACTTGAATGTATAAATACGCATTATCTGTAATTTTTTTTGACACGGACCCGGATCCCTAGTCCGGGATCCTGGTTCTCTTCTGGACTCGGACCTTGAGCTTTCTGGATGCTTGTAGAATAGATGTTCCACTTCATACCAAGTATTCTTCTTCTACTCAATGAGGGGCGGGCGTCGGGTTAATCGGATTAGAGTAGCCTATTGTGTCGCCGGATTCTCGATCTCCGCTCTCCTTTACCGACTAAGGTTAACTCTTAATAGTTCGAGCATATCAATTGACGTGTTTACAAACATGTCTAACAGAAAGCAGATACTTGAAGGTGTTCATAGATAACAAACTAGTTTGTCTAATCTACGATTTCTTTTCAAGTAGGATTATTCAACTGAAAAAAAGCTTTACCTATCAACTGGCTATATGAAAAAGAGATTAATAATTTATCATCGTTTAACACCAGAGTTAATTGATGATGATGATGATCAAACAATCTAAATTCAATAAAGAACGCATACTTACAAGTTCAGAAAAAAGTCACAAATAAAACTGGTTCACTCAGTATGAAATATTTAAAACAATTCTATTGTATAGAATGGGAAAACTGCAAAATCCATCACCAAAAAGTTATAGGTTTTTGTAAATAGCTGTCTGCTCAAAAAACGCATCCATTAGCTAGACACCATAAAAAGCAGCTTGCAGGTGAGGAGGAAATTAGGAGAAAATGCTGGCGGATATGATACGCACTGAGGAAGTCACCGAATTGCATCACAAGGCAGGCCCCAAGTTGGAATCCTCTATACCATTGGTGAAGAGGTAGACCAAAGAACACACTTAGCTCAGAATTGGAAAAAGACGTGAAAAGAATGGATAGCACTTGGGAAAAACAGGAAAGGAGAGCCCGGCATAGAGTTGATTGGAGATTCCTCGTCTCTGGCCTATGTATATATATCCCACAAAGCATAAAAAGCGTAAGTGAGTATGTAAGTCTTCCCTTACTACCTCAACTACTATTCTATTTGAATGGACAATTATATCTATGTGCTGATGTGGTATGGCAACATGAACTGATGTACTTACGTACGAAGTTCTACGTTGCATCTGACTGACTGACTGAAGTCTACATAAATATGCCAAACGATAAATAGATAAGTTTGATTGACAGACGAACATGATTTATTCGTTTTAGCAGTTAAAATGTACACTAAAGAATAATAATAATAATACTATATATAGTAAGGCATTTAATAAAACACGTTTTACCCATTCATATTAATTGATTTACAACACTTTAATCTTCAATATAAAAGTTTCTTAATTTCATCCATAGAATTTTATTGAAGAAGCAGTTTCAGAAAGTTTTGCTCGTTATAAATTAAACGAATTAAAGAATAATTTATCAAAATATTCTTCTACCGGTGGTACATTGGCTGCTTTACCGTTTACAACATCAACCACCACCACCAATAATCGAACACATCATCCATTCATGGTGGGTAAATCACAATCAACCACACACATAGAAATAACAACACCTAATGGTCATTTAAAAAATAACAACACCAGTCATAGCAATAATATCACTAACAGTAATAATAATAATAATAATGTCAATGAAACTAAAAATCATACAATTCAAGAAGATTCAAACTTGGAACATTCAAGAAAACCGCACGAGAAAAAAGTTGAAATCAGTGAATTCATACAAGAAGCCAATCATGTAGACAGTTCCAAACGTGATTACTACTGTCCTCCACCAACGATTAGAACTGATTCGAAATTAATGCAAGATGAAAATATAAGGAATAAAGGTAAGATTAACCGGAGTACGTAGTGGTATGTTGTGGTTTTTAAGTAGTAGAAAATATCACGGCGTTCTTTTCTATTCAAACTGATTCGAACAGAGAAAATACATTTGAATGTGTTCTCAATAATTTGTGAATTATGTATGTTTAGTGAATGCAAAAGATTAAAGATATGTAATGTTTTTTTCAAATACTGTCACTGTTAATTAATTTTCACCAAGTTTTTCAACTCTGTAATAAATAATACTAGTTAATGAAGATATCTTGTATTGAAATCAAAAGATTCATTCAATATCATGCATATATACATTGTATTTCTTTTACAGTTTTCTTTGATTGCAGACAAATTAATCAATTGTCAAGTTAGTTAGTTGTTATAGGCAATGATACTACTAAAAATATACATCTATTGTGAATAGAGCATGTTCTTCCGAAGAAGATGTGACTTTATTTTGAAATCAGTAGATAAATTATTAATGTGTTGAATGATGACTGGGACACATATTTTTTTACATTATTATCCTTTCCCGCCCCCTCTCCTCTTGGATATTTTTCATTTGTTGTAGTTAACAACAGTATAGTAGAAGAAGATGCTGAGATTCTAAAAATAACTGTGATGAATTCTCTCACCAGTGATAAAAAATGCACCTATACTCTATAAGAATAGTTTAAGACAATTCAGTTTTGTATAAATTAATCAATCTATTGAAGTTTTCCCAAACGTTCCTCTATCTCTGTAATCTATAAAAGGGCGAAAACAATTGTTAAATTCATTGAATTATCTCTAAAATATCTGTCTTCTTGAATCCTTATAAAGAGCAAGATAGTTTTTTTTAAAATCAGTTCATACATTGTTCGCAGTTGAATTTGGGGGGTCAGGATTAAAAGTTTGAGGTTTTGAATAGGAATTATATTGAAACTCTTTGTTCATATCTGATATTCTATCTCTGTCGAACACTTTTCTTTACTGTTTAACCCTCTCCTTTATTCTTGGATGTTAAATGTTCAGAGCACTAACAGTGGTTCTTTTGCTGATCACTCTATGGTATATTGGACAAAAGTGATTTTTTTTAAGAATTATTCTGAAAACGTTAAAAATCGTTCAAATAATTATGACTTACCTAACCTCAAAGCTTTGTTCATGATTGCTTTTTATCACTTTTCAAATTATTAATTCTGGTTTATTGAAGAGTTATTATATTATTAAGTGATATCACAAAGAAATGTTCTGTTAAAGAAGTCGACTGAAAATATTCAATTCAAATCACCAATCGACCAGTGTTTGACCAATATCAGAAACCTGGAAGTTCTGGAAGGTCGTTTTGGGACTCATCAACAGTGCGCACCGACGACTGCTGTATGCAGAGATCGAATACAGGGCTTTCGGTTCCGAGCGCAACCCCCAACCTTAAAACTATTGATCAGTTACCGATTTCATTGAGTCAAACCAATCTCCGTAATCGTATCAATACATTTATCATTTACTCAGTGGGGAAAAACTTCTTGAGGATGTTTTCAAGGTTCTGGAGAGAAGCCGTGACCAGTGGAGTTCTACTCTGTCGGGTGTGAGGTAGTTATCTACCGAAGACAGTGAATGAGGTCGGGCAATACAGTGGACTGAATGGATTGAGGCACTAACACCGTTGGATTGTCTGAAAGTGAAGGGTTCACATGAAAGAGCGAAAGTCCTTGGTTTGATTTCTGCATACAGAAGTCGCAAATGCGCACTGCTGATTATTCTGATACTAGGACAATGCTTCTAATGCTTTCAGTCTTCTAATGTTGGTCTAACATTGATTGATTATTGATCTTGATTTAATTCTCAAGCAGGACCGGTAACGTTTTATTTAGTATTTCATACATCAACCAATGAACAACAGTCAAGACATTGACTCGTTGGTTTTCAAGCCTCTTCTTACCTAGTTGATAATTAAAAGATCATAACTGGGAACTCATGTATTATTTTATTCAGTAAAAATCTTGACTGCAAATCAATACAATCAAAATATTACGGCAACGGTATGACTGAGCCGCAGTGGAAAAGCACTTGGTAATAGGTTCAAAAAAGAATAATAAGGATTTCAGAAAGATATAACCTATGACAATAGTTTACGCAACATAAAAAGTTTGTAGGCATGAGAATACAATAATGTAAGTATTTTATAACTAAAAAATTAAAACTTTTGGTAGGACGGTCGCGAAATTTCCACGTTTATAATAATATATTCTCGTTATCAAGTGAGTAACAACCAGATACTTTATACATTTACCAACAAGGTTAAGCTCAATGGCCAATGACTTCAAAGATGGATGCCACTTTTGACTTGACCGCTCTTAACTTTATTCATGCCAACTACTAGCTACACTAGCTCATATCAACCGTTGAGGTAAGCAATTGTTGGACATACATAATACATGCTTTCACCATCTTAGTAGTTTAGGTAAGTTTACAACCTCAACAACCCATTTACCACTATGATCTGGTAATTTATGGATGGATAACTTCGATATTTTGAACCTGATCTCTCCAATAACTACATGCGATGCTTCGGTGACAACTATATCAAAAAATTTAAAACGTAAATAGATCATTTACTGAGAATGGCAAGATTCCACAGCTGTAAAAAACTACATAATGAACCGCTGTTTAATGAATGTTATAGATAGTTAGTTTACATGATTGAGCGTATTTCCGTAGCATTTGCCTACAAACAAACCACATAACTCTCAATCGTTAACACAGATTGATAAAAATGAGAGAGAAAAAGTAGAAGCCTGAAAAAAGAAGCTTAAATACAAAAATCAACATTTTATATATCAATAGAAATGATTGAATTCTATAGAGATTACAAAACTGTGATTACCTTGGTTACCAAAGAAATAACACTCTGAATGATAATCAAAAAAGTGATATTACGCAGTTGAAATGGATTATTAGAATTTGATTGTTCAAACTAATTAAATAAATAGCTTTTCTCATCTGATATCATTGACAAGTCATTTTTTTTAATTCTCAACAACACACTACTCATTCTAGTTAGTAGTTTTACTACTGATATTCAATAAATATGTTAATTTGCCATCTTTAGTATTATTTATATTACAGAAAATGGTGTGAATTAGTCGTGCTGAAAAAATCCCATCGCCTTCATTACTGAAGAATGATGACTATTCAAAGCGGAATATTGTCACTATAAATCAAATTTTTTAGTTAGTCTCATTGATTTAAATCATGATCTGTCTGTTATAAAAGGGAATAGTGTAGAATAATAAAGAAAAACTGTGGTTTGAAATGATACTATGTGATAAATTGTGAGTATAAATCAGAATTTGACAGGAAGTTACGTAATCATCGGTTAGTGAAAAGTGTAAAGGTGCATGCCATTGTCCACTTGAAATCTATTAAGAACAGAATAGTTCGATGTTCTAATGATGGCTAATTTAACAGCTGTCAAAATAATGGGGAAGGAGTAGAAGTAATAATCGAAAAAATGATAGATTTTGGACGATGGAAAGGAGAGTTGAGGTCATAGACCGATGAGGGAGTGAAAATTTGTTGTTTACGGACACAAAAGTTAGGCTTGAACTGGTGGTGAGTAACAGCCTCTCTTCTGTATATAAATTTTTTCATTGGGATAACTCTTCCGACTGTACGCAGGATCTTGAAAGAGGTTACTGGCGAGTCGGAGTGATCAGCATTAACTAGATGCTCCTAGATTGATCTTTTGACCTGACTTCTGTGATCCTTTAGAAAGCCGATGTGATCTATCAAAGAGTCAAATCAATAATCGCTTCATGAACGGACATTTTTAAATAAAGGTTGAATATTTCACGTCATTTAACTTGGAATTGAAATTGGAATTGTTTGCGCGAAACAGATATTGTTGATCGATAATTCATTTTTATATTCCGGCGATATTTATTATCATAATGGTGTATGTAAGCAGGAATGTAGTATGTTTTTTTTACAGTTTTTATAAAATTGTACGCAAAGAACCATGATTTAACTCAGTCTACTTTTCATAATTATCCTTATTCGCAGAACATTTTTGTAAAATAATCTCGTCATATATTTTCGTTCCATGACTAATTTTTTCTAGATTTATCCTGGTAAAACTATTCAGAGATGTATACTTGAAATTACTTATTTTCAAACTGACTAAATACTCGGTAAGGATAGCAGATCAGTAGATGGATGAGATAGTGAATCTTCTTCTGTTGGGGTGGTTTGGACATGTATTACCTATACATAATCATCGGCTAACTTGACGAGTGTTATTTGACGTTGGGGTAAGCTGGAATAAAGCTTGCGGCGGCCAAACCAAGAAAAATGGTACTAATCCATGAAGTCATTGACGACTGGACAGTACCATGTTAGTGGGTGTAGGCAACCTGGTCGGGGTTGGCTAGACAATCGCCACCGATGGTTAGTTAGAGACTTTGAATGACATGGATCAAAATCGTTTGCAATGGTACAGACGCATTCATACTTTGTCTGCTCTCAAATTTCAATTTTCTAACTTCCCTATGTCCTTCATATTTCGTTTTTTAAATTTATTTCACTGGATTATACTTCGCAAACGATATCTTTGAACCTTAGTCCTCTCCATCACCGCTAATACTGCTACAACCTCTACTGCTATGGGATTTAAACTGATAATTCCATCTTCTGTGTGCTAATGTGGTTTGGCAACTTGAACTGATGTACGTCTGTACAATGTTCTACATTGTTGCTAACTGACTGAATGTGTTATCAGGCAGAGAACACTTAATGAGGACACTATTTTCAAGTTCACTCATATCTACTATATTCAATTCTAAGGTGAACTGTCATCGATTGTCTGATGAGTACTTCAAAAGTTCAAAAATATAAATTAATTTTGTTCACAAAGAATAAGTAGTTTTAAGTAGTCGTGATCCATTGAAATATTTCATGTACATAATCACTTTTTTTTATTTTTTTTTTCAATTATTTGAAAATAATAAAATTAGAATTGGAATGTGAAAATTCTCGATTAACAGCTGAAGTGGAACGATTGAAGACACGTTTAAGATTATATGAAGAAGTAAGTAAAATGATGATTGCTTTTTTTAAAAAAAAATAAAACCCTATTCTTTCAATCATATCAAAGTGATAATGGGTTATATGATGATAATTTAATGCAGATACTGAACTCATCAAATCTATGCATAATTGTAGCAGATAATTGCTTTGATTATCACTCCGCCTAATTTTCCACATACAACTTAGTCAATTAGTCATTTGTTGTTATAGAACTTGGCACGTAAGTTCAATTCAACACACTGTATTACCACACCGAAATGCAATAACCAATACAAACATTTGATTATGAGGTATTAATGGTCAACATAGTTATAACCATTCAAGACCAATGAATGGGTACATTAATTAGAATGTATAAGATAATTTTAAAAATCAAGTTTTATGAGAAGACAAATATTGAATACTTCGTGTCACCGTTAGCCGTCCTAAACCTAGTTATAACTGTTATGCTCGTCACTAGGTATGCTTGAAAGAGTTGTGGGTTCACCTTAGTCGATGAACGAGAACAAGACAATGAACCAGCGTCCAGGTAGGCTACTCTGATCCGTTGACCTAAAGTAACATACGAGAAGTCTTGATTTAGCGTAGAAAGTGGATTCTCAAACACCCAGACAGCACACAGTGAATCGAAGTACACAAATCGCGTTTATTTATACACCATGAAGACGTCCTTGTGCGAGTCACAAAAATAGCACACTAAAATAACGCGGTAACCAATCACAGCCAAGATCAAAATGTATCGGATCAGTAAAATCATGTGCACATATCCAAAGCTAGGCTATGCCTAATTTCAGTCAGTTTATTAAACATGCAGATGCTAATTCTCTTATAATGTGTCTGTTTCATAAAAGTTTATTATTGATTTCTTTCTGTGATGTTTACTGTTTACTTGTTTATTTCAATCAATGAAAGCTTTAGAATAATTAATCTTTTTCAAATATGAATCTCAATTTTATAGGACTATAATCGACTACTTACTGGAATCAGCTAGTGCACTTCAGGCTTTAAGTGATTCAGTTGTTTTTTTGACTTATCCCAGTCAGACATACACTTATGATGGATGAATGTACAAATATATAGGATTATAAGGCATCGATGATTAACTGAATAACTTCTCGATTATTTCTGCCCCATTTCAGAATGATTTATCGTGACGACTTTGCTATAGTCTAGATGTTGAATATATATATTTGCGAAACAAGTCGTAAACTCAACTGGATGGTAAAAATGTAACTTTCATTATAGGTTTATGGAAACTGTTGAGTCATTTTGAAATCATGAATCGATCAATGTTAGGCCACTACTCGAAACCCCGGAGCACTGGACGGCGGTTTCATCCTGGTATGGGACTCATCAGCGGTGCGCATCCACAACTACCCGCAGTTAAAGAACCTATAACCTTTGATCTTACGCCTAACTTCTGGAGCACAGAGTCCCGAACTAGGATGAAACGGTTATCCATCGCTTCCAGATTTCGAATGGCGATGGTCTAACATTGATCGATTCAGAATTTCAAAAATGTGATTGTTTAGTGTTTGAAAACATGTTTGAGAAAATTAACGATGTGTTTTCACAACTACTTAAATGAAATTTTAGCTTGCATCCGCTATGAATTCGAATATGGCAGCATTTCATCCAGTCATACCTTTATCTTTAACTAATTCACACGAATCAGCCGGGGAAAATGTTGGTTTCAATATGACTTCTGGATCTACAATGAAACGTACAATGTCACTTATGTCATCGAACCCAAATTTAACAACCAACCAAACAACATCTTCATCAATAACAGTTCCTAGTGGTTTAAAATCGGAAAACGATCTTACACGTCATGAACAATTTTCTTACAATAATGTACCGAAATCTTAGTTTTAATTAAAAACCATTTAATCGAAATGTTATCAATAATCAAGGTGAGAAACGTTGTTGTTATTGTTGCTCCGTCATTAAATCGATTGCTGCATTGTTGTAAAATTTATTGTAAGGTTATTTGTTAAATATTTTATGATATACTCAGGATTATATCATGCCGCGATTGATTCACTTGGGATAGCTACAGTAGCTTTCATAATCTCGAACTTCTAGCCAGAATGTTAGAAAGCTATGACGTATTACGAATAATAAATATTTTTAGCACAAGGTTGATTTACAGATTCATAACTAACTGACTTCGTATTCTAAACTGTAGAAGATTATAACAGTATAAATTTAGATTGCCATTAGCAGTGATCAGGTGTGTGTTTTTTTTAATCATGATGCAAGATTCACTGGTTTGAAGATATGAATTTCTTATTAGCGAGAAATTGGATTTGATTAGTTTTATTTTGATTTCAGTTAGATGTCGTCAGTGAATCTGGTAACATGTAAATTCTCGATGCAGATAGTTATATGAACCATAAATCTTTCGAATGTATGATGCTAAACTTCACCTTTTCATTTGAGATGCTGAGCAAAAGTATACTGAACATTTTCAAATCAGATATTTATGCATCATGAATTTAGTTTGTATAATTGGCACCTTTGATGAGAAGTACACTCCAAACATTCACTTTTTTATCAGTAGTAAAACGACTTTTTAACACATTGAGATGATGAACCAATCATAATTATAGCACCGTAGGAACCTAGAAGCACTGGACAATCGCCTCGACGTGGTATGGATCTCATCAGCAGTGAGCATCGATGACTCCTGTTACCCGTAAGATTCAAACCTGGGACCTTCTGTCTTACGCCCAAACACCTGGCTTCTGGGTCACTGGGACGGCACTAAACGGTGCTAATATCTAACTCTAGTCCAAAGGTTAGGCGTTCGCTCGTAAGACCGAGGGTTCCAGGTTTGAGTCCTGCGGGTAGCGGCAGTCGTGAGTGCGCACCGCTGATAAGTCCAATACCAGGATGAAAAGGCTGTTCAGTGCTTCCGATTTTATAGTAGTGGTCTAACTTTGAAGGTACTATGATTTCAATATGTAAAATCACTGATCTCCATAACTAGTAAACCAGTAAAATAATTGAGATTCTTTTGGGCATGATAAGATAGATACTAAAAATGTACTGAGGATGGACATGATCATTAAAAACTGTTTTATTCTATAATTAGTGATGTTCACATGTGTTTAGCATACACTGTCATTTTTATTTCAGCTTTACTAGGAAATTTTGTATAATTCGATGAAAACAATGAGTAATTCGTTAAAGTATCATCAATTTTTCGACCCGTTCTCTTCTCAAATTCCTAAACTATTTCATTATTGAGTACAAAACTTTTGTTTTCAGCTACTACTTAACTTCAAGAAAGACGGTTTTGACGTAAATTGCCTTTTTTACTTGACGTGTTGTTACCTTGAATTGTTTTTATATTCCTTCACATTGCTATCTGTTGTTTGTGAACATTCATTTTCAGTTTTTTTTTCGATTACATTTTATACTACTAAAATCTCTATAGTAAAATATACATATCATGCAAAGAAAATGCAATTTGATGGCTTTTCTCCACTAAAATCATTCATTTTTTGTGAATTGTTTTCTGATTCACTTTTTGTATGCACAAACATATCATGAAGTTTCTTTTTATCCTGTGATTTGTTGTAATTCTCCGAACCTTTTGATATTTACTACTTACGTTTTGTAGGTGCTATTACTGCTACTCCTTCAAGTTTTTTCTAATTGTATACATGATAATAGTACTTTAATGTTATCACTAAATAAAAAAAAAGAATAACTATCACTTTTACTGTGGACTGTAAACTCTTACATTTTGTTTAATTATGCTTTTCTGCTTTGTTTTTGTGATCATTATGATTTTTTCCTTGTTTTCTTTGTGTCTGGAGCATATAATGTTTTGTTGAATAATCAATTCGAATAATATGTTGTTGTTTGACTGTTGTGAATTACTAAAACAATGAATGTTGATAATAATGCGGTTGGCTACTCAGTTCACAAGAGAACTTTCTCAAAAATTGCATTAGGTTGATTCGGATCACATCTGTTGATCGTCAAATTTAGTTTAATTATTTATAATCTACAAGTTTTTAACAAGTAGTGGTTTATAAATAGCTCATTGTTCATTTGAACATCGTAGACTACATAGGTAAATTCAGGACTTACTGGAATAATAGTGTCTATTTTCGCTAGCATTAACATGGACGCTTAATTACTGGGATAGTTGAACAATAGCGCAAAAAAATTATCGCCTAGTTTCAAACTGCCAAAAAGTAGCCTATTTGAAATTATTTCAATGAAATTCAATAACCTCCAAAACTACATACTGTCAAATATCGTGTGCTCACTGGTGACTTACTTCTTGAGAAAATACTCGAGGTTCGAGTAAGTAGCTAATGGGAAAAGACTGTGTCGGGTTACCCGCTGAAGACAGTGGATGGCAGTTGTAAAATATCATCGACTGATTGAAGTTAGACATTAAAACCGTTGAATGACGGCCCAATCGTTTAGGAGAGAGAACGATTTCCTGATCGCAGGTTCGTGCATGCGTGCTGCCAATTAGTCATATTGTAGAACTAGAGGGCTCTCCAGTGCTTACAGGTTTTCCTTGATGCCCAGTTCAATGAAATTCTGCAACCTCATGCTAATAGGAATAACTTCGTTTTCTGGTTTCGTTTGTGTGTTTGCTAATCAACAAAAGTACCATCATCTAATTAAACATGGCTAACTCATCCTACCATACAAACTATAAATCAAGCACGATTGCGCATAGATAGAGGGGACATTTTTTCAATCCATACTTTAACAATCCAAGCGTAAAATCATCTAAATTATGGTATACAACACTACAAATGACAAATATCTATGCCAGGTTATTTTCTAACTACTTCAACTGTTGTCTAACAGTATTGTCATATAATAAATAATTAAATTTAAACTCATGATCTTGATTGTAAAAGTGGTCTTGAATGAAGACGTTAGTATAACGAACTATTCTTTCTAAAGTCTGATTATCATCTGTGTATCAAAAGACCATGACTATTAGGTCATAATCGTTAGAAGCAGAAATGGATAGTGGACAGCACATATGCCGAATGAGACTGATCAATTACCGTCCTATAGGTTAGTCTCAATCGATAACATTTGAGAAACCGATGATATTTGAGTTAGACGCCCTCCACTTAAAACTCATTAGGTCCCAGACTGTTTGTTATTTTGGCATTTTTTATTTTACTACTAAACAAGAAAATGTATCAGTTATTTAGATGTGACTATGTCTTTGTCATGGATTCGTTTTGTTGTTTCCCTTTTACTGTTCAGTATGTGTACGCTTATTGTTCTATTGACTGCTATTTTCTGGGATTGTAATAATTTTATTAAGTTCCGTTTTAAAAACAGGTTATAATTGTCGGCTATAAACATAGTTACCTGTTTTGACTGTAGCCGCGCTAAAACTCTGTAAGCAACGGCACAGCGACTTATTTAAGAAATTCTTCTGTAGGCAAATTAAATCCAACAAAGTATCGAACAGTAGTCATTACACCTACTACTGAAATGACTTTCAGTAATCACTTTAATTTTGACCAGATCCGAGATTTTTCGCCGCATTATTTAAGAAATTCTTCTGCGGACAAATTCAGTCGTACACTACCATTGAGAAGATTCAAGCAAATAATGCAAATGAATTAAACTTCATCCCATTGCACAAAACCAATTGCTGTCTGAGTTCAGTAGTCAAGCAGATAACGTGATGGCGTTCGAAGCGAACGGTACTAGTTTCGAGTCTCGAAGTGAACGTCAACTCTCAAATGCAAGTAGATTTAGCTGAAAGGTACCAAAATGGCCGAAACACACTACCAGTTACTATTCATCTCTAAGGATTATAAATGACTCAGTCAGTTTTATTAGTAAACGATATCTATATCTTATTAAACATTTTGAACATAGTGCTCTGTTATCCTATGTGTCGGCAATGTATTGATATGATTTAAAGATTAATGTCAACTTCATTCTTAAAATAAACAGCAGTGTTTTTTTCTCCCGCTGTGCACTAATCAATATTTTTAAAAAAAGTTGACACTCATGTATTAAACACAACTCTCGTTCATGAGAAGATGTATGAAATCTATGTCCTTAAAGATAAGCATTGTGTCAAGTTCGTTCACAGAGGAAGGATAACACTGTCAACTCACATCAAGATAATGTATTACAACATATATGAAACAAACATTTATTTAAAAACCAATCAATATTTCGTAAAATCAGTTCATAAAGCAGTTAAGAAAGTCACAGCTGTTTACACAAAACAGAATTAAGCTAACATTTTTCAAATCGCTATTAACGATTTACGATGATTGTTGAGTTTTCATATTTTGAATCATGTAATATGACATTGGCTAGACTAAAACTGAAAAACCAGAAAGCATTGAACAGCTCTATTACCCTAGTTTGTGACTCCTTAGTAGTGAGCAGCAACGAACCGATCGCAAGTCGAATCTAAGGTCTACTGTCTAGCTTGGATTGGTGTCCAACAGTGCTAATGTTTAATTTTAGTCGATTCGAAATACTGCTCAACCGGCTTTCAATTCCTAATACGGATAACATTCTCATTATCGAAATAGTTGAAGCTTATCACTAGAGCTGGAATTATATCTCAAAACACTCCATTGATGAGCATATTATTATTATTAGTATTATTGGTATGGAAGGTTTGGAGAGACTGGTAAATTTTCTTTGCATATAAGATTACAAGATTCACAATATATGTATATCGGGTTGTTCTGATTCTACCAGATAATTAAAAATCTCATTTGTAAAGCATTTGATAATATTTTTGGTACTGAACAAATAAATGATGAGTATGTTTAACTATTATTATTTATTAAAAAATCAGTTTCATAAAACGACTAATATCTTGGCATTTTTATTCTTTTGAGAAGACTCAACAAATATTTTCTACACCATGATTTATTAAGTGATAACATACACCAGATGTTTGTTAGAAAAAACACATTAAAATTCCATGAAAACAACTATCTTTAACTGGCAATTAATTAGTAACTTTAAATTCATATTTTTATCTTGATATGCTAGTTAATCAGTTTATTATACTTGATAAAGCACAGAGGAGAGTTAAAATTCCAATTAGATAGGTCAACTGTTTGAATTTCCATTGAGATTATGAACCAATCAGTGTCAGATACCGCTTTTTTTAAATCTAGAAGCAGTGAACTGCCATTTCATCCTAGTACTGAATTAGCTTCTCGAAGGGATACTTGGAGTTCAAAGGGGGAAACCGTAACCAGTGGAGTTCAACAATGTCGAATTCGAAGGAGTTAACCACCAAAGAGACTGGTAATGATATACTACTGTTGTTTTTTGGTAAATAGTTTCAAAATAAAATGGTATGGTGGTTAAGTTATTTTATTTATTTTACTTGGTAAAGCACATAATTTCATTGAACAAATGTGGTCTTTCTCGAATTAACGTGTCAAACAGATTCTTGATGGTAGTCAACACGAAAACATAGCTCATCCAATTTCAATGTTTCTCATCGACTACCTACAATTACTTGCTTTTTTTAACATAGCGCACCTAATGTCGTCTAGTCATCGAGAATAGTGTTCAAATCAAAGCTTGATCGATACAATCCGATCATGACTTAGAAACGTTGACTAATTTAAAACTAATAACTACTCGATGATTAATCGTCTGGAACTGGACATCACTATTTCTCTTCCTTAAGCTTTATTGGGCCTTGCCCTACAATTTATCCAGCGTATGGGATAAATGCAGTATCTAATGTGATGAACCAATTTAATACAATTTGCAACACAACCATAGTTTTCTGTGCATGCCTCACCAACAATGCAGTACACTTACAACATTACTAAGCAAAAGTGATTTTCTGTCAGAAATGTAAACCTTTCTTTATGAATGTCACTATTGTATGGCATGAAAACTTAGTTGTTTAAATAAGAGATATTCACTAATTCCTCCTGTATATCCAATAGAAAATATTTTTTTTTTAAAAACACAGTATATGATATTCATAAATATAAATTTTGTATTATTAAAAAAAAAATCCAACTCCTCTACTAAAACAAATAAACGATAGTGAATATCTACGAGTCACGGGGTATATTCAAGTGTAAACCAATGTACGTGTATATATGATGTATATATATGTTGACAGTATAAATAATATGTATGCATGCATAATTGTGTGTAATATATATATGTATATATTTTCAAAAATGTTCATGTACTTAGAATCTCATTCGGTCGGTTTACAACAAACACATTCTCATCAACTGTTTATTCAACTGTTCAAAATAACTGGCACATTTTAAATGTGTTTCATTTTTTTTTCTTATACAAAAATTCATATAACAGATATGGAGAAGAAGTAACAACACTTGCAATCACAATGCTTCCAATGAATGCCAATAAGTGATTTTCTTAGTGCAACCAAATAATTGATTTGTATTTTTTAATCGTTTCAATTCTTTAATTAAATCATTCCATTGAATCAATGCCAGATCGTTAGTTAGTTTAGTTAGACCAATCGATAGATTGGCTAAACGTCTTAATTGATTCGATGTACTGGTTCGTATGAATATTTGTAAAATTATTCCAATGTTATTGTAATTCAATAATCGATTCACATCGATATTTAGCGAGACATGTTCATCCGGTGAAATTGAAATATGATCGTAAATGTGAAACGGATCATTTGGATCGATAGTGGTCTCGTCGACAGTTGATTTCGGTGCAATAAATCGGAATGGCTTACATCGTACTACGGATAAAGTTGTATTTCCAAGACAGAATAATGCTTGAAATAACATTTCAGCTAAGGAAAAAAAGACTAATAGTAATGAATTAAAATTAAAATTAGATAGATAAACAGTTTGAAGTTTCATTGAGATTATGAACTGATCAGTGTCAGATACAGCTTTGAAAACCTAGAATCAGTGAACTGCCATTTCATTCTAGTACTGAATTAGCTTCTCGAAAGGATACTTGGAGTTCTATGGGGAATCAGTAACCTGTGGAGTTCAACAATGTCAGATTTGAAGCAGTTAACTATTGAAGACACTGGTGATGATATACTACTGTTTTTTTGATATATAGTTTCGAAATAAAATGGTACGGTGGCTAGGTGCTAGTTTGTTCTTTATTTATCGTACTTCCAAAATACAATCGCATGTTTATAGCATTTACAAGTTTAATTCTACCGAGTATATTTAGGTGTTGAAGAGTTTCCACAAAAAAAGGTTCTGAAGAAGAGCGTCCACCGAGTTAGATTAGAGAGTTATATTCGAAAGAAAAGGGAAATAGCGACTTCAAATCAATGATCTTCATAGGCTTTGGAATCCTCAAAGAATGTTAGGGGTACAAACTTATCACGATCGACCGTTACAGTAGTGGTTGATTTTCTGATATTTTTCCACTGCATTTAAGATTAAATTTTGAAGGTGCATAAAAACGTCGGTTGATATAACTTCAACTTCTGAATAGAATCACAGCTCTCATCAGAGGTTATATACACATACATGTAACCATAAAGAGTATTTCTTAATGAATTTCAGTATTTTATGGGCTGCATTTATTATATGACAATTAGATATCCTAAGTACTTGCTCACATCATAGTGATTTGTTCGATTTACAATTATTTGTTTAAATAATTGGAAGTCAGTAGAATTTAAATTACTAACAAATCTCTATAGGTGCTGAACAAGATGATTTGTAAAAACCACTTATTTGTAGATCAGGGAACATGAGTAGTAAGTAGTATATTGGTTGCTAGGATAGATAACGACAATACAAATTAAGAAACATTCATTAAGATAAATCAAGAAGACTAAATGTAAAAATAATTTGTCAATTAATTAGCGTAGACAAACATCAAGCATCGATCTGTTCTTGAACAGGGAGATACAAAATAAGTAACGAAATCTGTGAGCAATCAATTCACTTTGTTATCCCTAGCTAATTTCCGTTTATGCACCATGTACTAATAAATTGAACAACGTACGTGAATTTAAAAAAATTGAGAAAATGATAAATAACTCAATCAGCAATATTATATGTTTATCGTTAGTTGTCACTGGTAATATTTATCGTATTTCGGCATAAACGTTAAGCCTTTGCAGCTGGGTTAGAGGATTCGAGATTCATTCATCTAAAGGAGCAGTTTGAAATTAGCTATAAAAAAGCTATGCAGTTCTTCCTGGTTTCAAAGATTAACAAACTAAATTTAGTTCGTAATAGTAAGTTCAGGTATCTTTATAAATCATCATGCTATCTAATAACATAAATATCTTCTGAACGCTATATGGTTTTGAATGATTCATAGAATTTTACTCTCTGCTTAGTTTAAATGATTCACATTTCATCCATAATGCTTCGTTCAAAATTTAACGTAAATTTTCAATGTTCAATTCTTTTTTAACTGAGTATGATGTACATATAAAAATAAAAAGTCTGCTTGAAATACAATGATTACTGGAGTCTGGTTACGGGTTACATAGATGGGGTAAAGAGAAAAAAGCTACAAAGCAGTGAATCGATAAAGATTTATAGTTGACTCAAGATTAATAGTTCTAAGGCGGAATTTCGATTGATGTTTTGTTTTGCTTTCGTCACATGAAACACTAACATTTATAAACTGGATAGAAAGTTTGATTCTGCACCAGTTACTTAGGTTTTAACTTTCTCTATTTCTGTCTTGCTCTATGTAGGCTTGACCGATTAACTGGAGTAAAATCATCTACTTTAACAAAACTAATGAAATTTCTTTTTTGAACCGTTGAAAGTTCAGTCTTCTTGGTAGAAAAAATATATTCTGTCCTAAAATTTTGCTCTGTCGTCTAGTTTCACTGGAAGTGTCAGAGCTTAATAGTAGTATCAAGCTCTACTTACTTTAGTAAACTTGATTTTTAGTCAAAAAATCGAAACTAATACAGACACAAATACTAACTACTTTTCAACATGATGTTGAATCTAAGATTTCCATTACAAGCTTAACCATACTGATACAATCGAACGGTTTAATTGATCTGCAGCGTGAAAGATTTTGTACTGATCATTCTACAACTTACAAATTGTCGCGGTTTTACCTCGCTTCACTGAACATTACTCATCGATAAAAGCTGTATGTTTATTGATTCCTGATGTGTTTTATAAAGTTTATCTCATAACTATAGCTGTATCCCATCGGAAACACCTTCAATTATTGATATCTCGAACGTTTTATACTTGACATTATCATAAACCGAGTCCCTGGTGTTTTATCAGAAATATATTTATTGAATTGTATCTTTACAAATAATAGTAATAATAATAATAATACCTTCAAGTTTCAAATATTGATTACCTCTATATTATTATTTCAAAAAACTAATTGTCATCAGTGAATGCAATTGAATGTTTCATGAATTTTCAAAAATAAAACTATATTTCGCGTTATGAAATGAAAACATTCGAAGCGTAAAAAGTTAAAGCTTACTTTCATGTTTGAAAATTTTGACATTTTTAAATTCTTCTATAAAAATTTCAAAGATAGAAGAATCCATTTTATATTGAACAGTTACTTTGACCATTGGTTTTTTCAAATCTTCATTTTGCGGAACTTCGGAATTAATATTTGACTAAAACACAAATAAAATATTTTAAATAGAATATGAGGTGAATTGACTGAGAATATGTTTGCGTGACTAGGAAATTCATTGAGAAACAATTTTCTTGATCACTATTTCATTGAATAAAATTTCATATTGTGGTAATTTATAAACGCATATAGCAAATAAGCATTTTTATTACCGCACTTTTTTTGGGCGTGAAATTATTTAGTGAAAGTCATTTTGAATTTCTTTGTTGGAGAATTATACAGACTATTATATTCCTGTCAAAAAAGACTGAAAATTGAAGTTTGAACAGGTGTCGGATATATGTTTATATATACTTATAAGCAAATAGTTCCGAACTGTATTATCTCAGTGTTTAAGTGAAGTTATACTCTAGTAGCGAAATCTAAAACTTGCATTTCTTTCTATTTGCCACTTGTTATCTGGACAAATCTGCATCATAGTGTTATAATGTTTACACTGGCAACTGAACCAAGTACCTTCCAGTTCTAACTCTGAACACATAATACACGTAGTACGATTCGATTTATATAGTTTGTTGGTGTGTGTACTCGCAGAATAAAATGAAGTTATGAATGACTTCATTCAAAGTTTTTAAATCTTATTCAACAAGTCAAACTTTTATTTATAGTACTGTTTAATTTGGTAAAACTGTATCAGTCGAAAAAAGGTGGTAAATTAATGACTAAATTAAACTTAATGAATAAATACTTTCTGTGTTTGTGAATACTGAAATTATTTCTCTGAAAACTTTAATCTAAATGTTTCGTACGTATGTGGAGCAATCACTGATATCCTGAGAGAACTAACATCTCTGACAGATTTAGTGATTTAACTTATAAGTGACACTAGATATTTTTATGCATCGACTGACTAAAAAAAAGTTGTACTTCGAAGTAGTTAAATGTAACGAAATAATATTCGTTGAGCTAAAGAAAAGTAACTCAATAATTATCTGTAAAGTAAAGTATATTCAATTTTTAAAACTACTTGAAAGAAATTTTAAGAAACAACACTATAGATGAATCTTAAAGCTAGTAGTGGAAAATGTTTACGTTTCTTTCAGATGAGTGAAAACATTTTCGTCGGTAAATCTTGTCAAACATATCGAAATGAGTTACTGCGACCAATTTAAACATTGATTCTGCACGAGGATGAAAGTTATTTCTCCACTATTCATTCAGAACACTTAAATCACTTTTGAAATCATCAATCAATCATTGTTAGACCACCATTAGAATCCTGAAAGCACTGGACGGCCGTTTCGTCCTGGTATGGGACTTATCAGCAGTGCGCATTCACGACTCCTGCACCTCGCAGGATTTGAACCCGGGACCTTCGGTATTGTGCACGAACGCCTAACCATTGGACGACCACTGGGCCGGCATCCAACGGTGTTAATGTCTAACTCTGATTGATCTAATGGTGGTCTAACGATGATTGATTGATGATTTCAAATGTGTAAAAACACAAATCGCTAAAGCTCTAACTGAAAACTTAAATGACTGCCTACCATCTCTCTGCGTTACCGCATCATCGATTCTATTTCAAAGTTACAAATATTTTTGATATCGCTTTTAAGGATTTCTTCTGCAGCCACTTAGAAAGGTTGACCATTTACTTGGTCAAAGCTAACTAACTAACAACAAATTACTATTAAATCTGATCAATCAATCAAGAATTGCTTGTTAAGTTCAAATAATCTTTAATGACTACTTGTAAAAATTTTTAGTAACATATAACTTATCATTTACCAAACGATTTTCCTCTCCAAATTCATTTTTTTCATGATCATTTTCCGCAGTAGATGGATATAATTCAAAATTGACAGAATTTTCATCTTCGTAACTTGCTATTCTCGATTGTCTACTATGTAATTCCGGTAATTTGCGTAATTCTTGCCAAATATTTTGCATTTTCTCTGGACAATTAATTAATTCATATTGATTTAATTTATAAAATGTTACACCGATACATCGCATTTCTTCAGAGATCATATTCATTCTACGTGGTAATCTGTCAACTTCATAAGGTGGACATGGATGATTATATGAATCAACGGATTTATTACGTCTAGGTATACGATCAGTGTCGAAATTGATAAATGCATTAGTGTAATCATGTTTTGTTGTTGATTGTAATACTGTTAAAACTAGTTCAGCATTGTTTAATTCATTTGTAGTGATTGAAAATAGGAACGACTGATCAAAATTTGGATTTAATGACGTTAAAACTGGTTGTGTAAAATAAGTTTTATGAAATCCTTCACTTTCATTTAGGAGAGTTTGTCTTTCTTTATCCTGTTCACTGTAGACTTCTGTGTATGATTTCGAAGTGTTACAATGTCTTAAACGTAAGCTTACAACAAAATTAGCTGGTGTTTGACTTGGTAAAATATCTGAACTTTTAATCAGATTGCTAACACCGATCAGTCGATTGATGGTTACGTTTAGTAATCCAACAGTGCATGTATACGTCAATGAAAAGCATATATGTCCATTTGTATCTGGATTCATGGTGAAATTTCTCCATGTATTATCGAAATCTGTTTGATTTTTCAATTGTACAGTAGAAAAGATACGCATAACAGGATGAAAAACTGTTTCAGTATTACTTAGACGACGTTTAACTCCTGACCATACAGAATCAATTGATGATGATGATGAGGACATTGATTTTTCACTTTGATACGTCGTCGATTTATTGAATTTTGTACGGTTCGACCAAAATTGTAAATTTTTCGACAAGTTTGGATCACTTAATTTTGGCAAATGACTAGTTTTTCTCATCTCTTTATCAGATGAACTGAAATTTTTATTGTCAGTTATCTCATTATTCCTATGACCAGTGTTATTGTTGTTACTTTGACATTTAGTTGTACAACTTTCAGAGAATGCTCGTATTAATTTGCCTCTATTTGTTAACATTTTATTATCTGGTTGTACCATTTGAAGTCTAGTAATACTATTCAATGGTGGATTTTGTAAACCGCAAATCAGTCTGGTGTTTTGATCACGAGCAACTGATAATCTACGACCATATTGATTTGGTTGATAGGATGACATCTGTTGTAAACTGTATCGTTGATGTCTTTCTCTAGGTTTAACTGTTTCTCTGATTGTTTTTAAACTTGTATTACTGCATGAATCTCGTTTTGAATTGTCACTAGTAGCAGTAGTACTAGTGGTACTAGTGGTAGTAGTAGTAGTAGTAGTAGTAGTCGTAGTAGTCGAAGTAGTAGTTACTGAACAAGGATTCATCAGTTGGCAGGAATTTTTATCAAAACTATAAAATCGTGCAACTTCTTTTCTTGCATTTTTATTATTTGTTTGTTTATTCATACATTTACTGCGTCTTGTACGTTTCATAATCTGTCCTGAATCAGGATAAAATATTAAATAGCAAAGAGCTATGAAGAATATGACAAAGCATAAGAAAATTACAGCTAGTATATCGGTGTAAAACATTGAAATTTTACAAAATTGTTCAATGCGAAGCTTTAATTATTACTTATCGGTTGTTAACAAAAATATTCAATGATGTGTTTGATAAGAAGTGTGACATTGGTGTTCATATTGCTCAGCTGTTGATGATTTTGAGACTGGTCTAAAATAAAAACAAAATGAAACAGTGATTAGGCATTATCAATATCTGTAAGGAAGTTTTATTTGAATCATAAATTTCATAAACTTTGCATGTTAACATTGTACATGGTGGTACTATTCAAAAGACGATGTTGGGTTTTATGTAAAAACAAATTACAGGATAATCTTGCACCTACATGTAAACTTTCATTCATTATCGTTCAACAGTTGAGATGTAATCACATTCAACTTTGATTGGAAGTAAGTGAAATCAATACATCCCATAGTCATTTGATTGCTGTAAGTACTGAAATACAAGAAGTTTGAAGTTTCATTTTTATACAAATTGTGTATACTGTGGAATTTACATATCTACAATTACTAGTTATATATAAGTACGTTGATTGCTATTCAGTGATGACACTGTGCGAATCTATCAATACCACAGCCAGCTAGTTGGAAACTTATCAGTTCAATGATAGTATGCACAATACTGTTAAGTTTGTCACTTGGTACGCTTGAAGCTATTACGAGTTCACCTTAGTCGATAAACGCGAACGAGACTTTTATCAGCGTCCAGGTAGGCTACCTTGAATTTCGAGCTGAAGGAAAAAAGGCTTTGTAAGCGTAGAAAGTATATTCTACAAACACCCAGCAATCACAATACAATCAAGCACACAAATCTCGTTTATTTATACATCATAGAAACATCCTTGGGACAGTTACGAAAATAGCACACTAAAATACACAGCAGCCGATCACCGTCATGGATTTTCCTGGTGGGAAATGAAATCTCAAAGTCAACTGATCAACCCCAAGCTGGCAAACGTGAAATTCAAAATAAGGCATTTGTCAAGCGAGTTCTGGGGATCTAACATTCCCAACAAATACAAATTGTTATCGCTGGCAGATTACCGATTGTTTTAAGAATGTAGATAGTCTTTGTTGTAAACGATCTTCAAATACAAGTTCAAGGATTTAAAAGGTCTACTTTCAACCGGCTCACTGCAACAATTGAAGTGGATTTGAAGAAAATCAATAGAAAATTGTGACTTTTATTGATGTCATCATAAAAATGTATTTTAAATTTGAACTAGTGCACTAAATGTACATTTTTAGGGCTTGTGCGTAAACAGTATTTTTTAAATTGTGAAAATCACTTGAATTTTACTGATTGGTCTGTACAATTGTGCCGAAATTCAATGTTTTAACAGACCACTATCTTATTCATCATTTTCAGTATTATCGAATATGAAGATACAATATATACATAGAAGAAAATGAGTTGATCAACCATTAAAAAATAATAATTCTAAATTAGTTCAAACCAACAAACATGAATGAATCCAATCACAGTAATACTTTAAAATTTCGATGCTCTAGTAAACACTGATCACATTTAAGCGCTTCATTTGAATATACAGTAGCAAGTTTGTATAGTTGAAAACAATAATTGAACAACATTCATTTAAATATTTAACCTTTAATGAAGATTTGAAACATAACAACATTTGTCAAATTATCTAAATTTATTTTAGTTAGTATCTGAGAACTACTTATTGATGGTCAGTAGCAGATAATGCGTTTTACAGACATAATGTGAACAAATCATGGATTCATTCAAAGCCAACTCCTCTGAATACTACAATTTACTAAAATTAAAAATAACACATTCATAACATCACATTGACCATAAAAGAGGATAGTCGATGTTTCGTGGCTTAATGAAAGTATCCTCATCAGGAAATAAGTAAAATCATAACCGTTCTCACTTGACATGAAACTGAAATTTTTCATTAAACATCATTTATTTAATGCTTCATTTTTTTTAAATTATCAAATTGAACCTTGGTAATAAAACGTACTACATGACACTGTTAAGGTAGAAAAATAATAACCTTTGTATCGATTGAAATAGAAAGACAAAACTTATAACACTATTCCTAAACGTATTTATTTATCAAGAGGTTAAGCGTTTGTGTGCAAGACCGAACGAAGGTCGTGGGTTTGAATCCCTCAAGTCGCACAAATCGTGATGAGTTCCTTACCAGGACGAAACAGCCGTCCAGTATTTCTAAAGGTGGTCCAACAATCACTGATTCATAATTTCAATGTGCAAAATTCTTTATCACTTACATGAGATCAAAACACAGTAAAAGTAGAATGATCAATTGATTTTTATAATCCAGAATCAGTAGAGAATTATGGATAATTTTATGCCCATTATGAATGCAATTTTCATCATTTCTGTGTACAGAAATGTAACGTTATAACTTCATTTTCATTGTTCAATTAAGTTTATTAGTTTCGTGATCAAAAAATAAAATCCCAAATCCAAATTGACAATCATTTAGTTTTAAGGTGAAATTCATTTAGATTAGAAATATACATCGAATTAAGTGAATAATTTTTTTGTATCTACTGACCTAATGTACCTAATATTCTCAATTAAAATGAGGCTGATTGGCTGTTTGTTAGTAAATTTTGATAAGTTATTTTTATTATTGTTTTTATTGGTTGTAATGAATGTATTTCACATTGACTTAAACACTCATTGTTTTTATTTCCAGTGTAAGTTGTTGAGTTCATAGAGTAGAGATGTAACACTGGCATTATGTTTTGATAGAAGCTTTCTGAAACTTGCTTAAGTCAAGCGAATTTCCGCATAAATTTCTGTCAGGGTACACATAATGCACGGAATGGAAAGATTATGCCTATCAACGAAATGCAAAAGCGTCTTTCGCATTATTTGAAACATATCCGGTGCTTATACCTTCTAAAATGACCACTGACATTCTCATAACCCGATTTCGAGAAACGCACATTTCTCCATTTAACGTTTTACGTGGTTTCTAAGCAGGATATTATCGACAGTATTTTCTGATTGGGGTGTTAGATAGTCACACTTCAATTTACCCGTTTAATTGTGATGATTTATGAAAAAAAACAGTGTTTTCATTTTAAGCCTACTTCTGTCACGATAACTAATACACATTACTAGGTGATAAATTGATCCTTCTCTTCCTATCGATTAGCTGTACATTTTTTGTACAACAGAAATGTAGGCATAAATATGTACATATTAACAACTGACGTCAAGGTACATTTTAATGGTATTCAGAGTTTATATCACAGAATTTTACTGTCACAGTTGACTGCAGTAGTTCAATATCGACATTCCGATGGTGTTGAAATGTTGTGAATTGATTAACAAACGATGAAACTATTAATTATTTGATACCGAAATAACAGTCCAAAGTAATGTAATGGACTCTAAGTCAAAATATTATAGGTCTAATCACTGATAGGGCAGTCAGTGGGTACTTCTGAAGTATCTCATAGTAGGATGAAACAGATTTTTAGTGTTCACTGTTACTCAACGCTCATTTAATCTCTCTCAGTTTATGCTGTAAACTAGCGTGCATATATAAGCTTGATTTACTGATTTCAAGTCGTTAAAATCAAATATTCAACCATGCACATAACAAATAAAATTTTTTGTGGCTAAGTAGGTTTTTCTGATTCGGTAAACTGTTTAAACCTAAACCATTCAACTCAGATTTCAATGATTTATGGGAACTGTAAAAATGAAACGTTTTAAATAAGAAAAATTCTATAATATAAATATTTTGAATTTCCGTTTTTTCATGAAAAGACTAGCTTCAGGGAGAATAATACAAGTCATGATTTATAATTTAAAAAAAAAACCTTCATAACCTAATAAGTAACTTTCAGATATTTAGAACATATAGATTTTGATTATCAGTGAAACATAGGACTTGTATTTCGTTTTATTATGCACTTGTTAGACAGATATTTGAAACTCTGTGTTCTACTTATGAGACAATACAAACCGTTCTAGCCAGTGGTATGTTATATCAGCTGCAGAATCTTATGATTGTCTCGAGTCAATAGTTCAGCCGATAACGTGTTATACTTGAGGTTAAATATACTACGTTCGATGCCTGTAGAGAAAATCAATTGCAGATTGCAGGCAAATCAATCTGATAAGTCGCGCGTTAGATGTAACACTCTTCCTAGGTTTCAATACCAGCCGCATTCGGATTTTACTTCAGTACGTAGCAGGAAACATAAATAGCTATGTAAAAGCAATCCGGACACGATTAACACATGACAATCAAGGTTGATGAAAGTGCGTTTGAGAATAACTGGAACAGGACAATCTAACCGTTTTCTATCATTGATACATAAGCACTTTAGTTACAGAAAATATTAACTACATAACAGTAGACCTATACCAGTATAGATTGTAAAAGAAAAGAGTAATTTAAGTCGATTTGACCCATAAATTCAGTTATACAAACCACAACTTACGTGATCATAACATTGTTAAAATAAGAAATTTCTTTTGCCTACTGTCTTTTATTTGAGTTATCGACTTTCATTATTCATTTATTACTAAGAAGCATTCATCATCATTGTGTTAATTATATATTATTGATACTTTTCCAATTGACACTCAATATTTAGAAACATTGTCATTGATAAACTTTTGATAGATCGTAATAATTATTTTAAAACTAGCTAATCCTTGTTCTTCATATTCTTTTTTTGTTCAATTATTGGACAGTGAATAAATCGATTATTGCTAATAGTTTGTTGTAATATTCACTGATGAAACTAACTGATAATTGCTAACACTTTTATTTAACTGATCAATATTGTTTATTTTCCAATAAGTATGATGTTGAATCTTTGCTTTATAATATTTACTAATAAAATTTTAAAAAAAATTTTATTGTTCAGTATTGAAACCCTAAACATTATGATACAATCTTGTCATGATGATTGTTGATATTGATATTATATATATGTTAGATGTTTTTTGTACACTAAACAGTTACATTCAGATTCTGTTAGAAACGATAGGCGAGGGCCATTTTTGACCTATATGGATCTTAAGTAGTAGTAATTCAATTGTCAATGAGTTTTGTTTTGCTAAAGAATTTTTTTTCCTTTTTTGAATGATTAAGCGCGGGAATCTAACTACATTTAACTTTTTTCATTCATTAAAAGAAACACATTACACACTTTGTTCATGCTGTGCATAAAACACTTGCTGAAGAATCAGAATACGAGTTTTTCTGATTTATTCAAAAGATAAAGGAATATTCTATTTTCTAAGAGATATGATACTACTACACTTTATTAGATAAAGATTAGTTCATGGAGAGTTTGTTTGATTTTGTTACTTGTGGCTTGAGACTATTAGATGGTATTCTGAATGTATACTGAGTGATCCGCCAGATGATTAGAAACTTATCAATCAGATAAATAACCAAACAAGCTTCTTTTAAGTTTACTATCTCATACGATGTTTAGATAGGAGTTTTCCACTTTCCCTGATTAAATCAAAAGGAACATATACGGCATGGCATTAAAAAGGTTCAAGCATTCAGTAAAGACTCATACTTATAAATAGTAAATATCAAGATGATTTCCTTTATCATGACTCCGTATTTCAAGATATCAAGGAATATGTTTTGAAAAAATCGATTATTAATAATTACTCTCAATGGAACTCATTATTTGTGTAATCATTACCATTTGAAATGTAAGAGAAATTATTCTTTTTTAAATTTGTTTTGTTCTACAGCCTTTCAAATTAATTATAGTTTTGTTGTAGGTGTAGATCGATGTTATAACTCCTTCTGGAGTCCTTATAATTTTACTAACTCCCCTGAGTCCTGATAAAGGTTCATGGTTGGGCAGGCGGTTAGCGAATCCATAGCCTCGTGATGAAAGCCAAGATTTTTCGTGAGTCACGAGGTCAATTTCCCTTCTCACAACCACAGCAACTATTCGTATAGGTACATGGAATGCTCGTACATTATGGGAGTCCGGAAGAGTAATCCAAATGGCTGAGAAAATAAACAGGTACAACCAGGCAGTACTTGGAACCAGTGAAACACATTGAACGCAGGTTGGACAAGAAACATTAGCTTCAGAAGAGCCATTGTTATACTTAGGCCATGAAGAAGAAAATGCCTCACATACACACATAGGGAGTTTTATTGATGCTGTCCAAACAAACACAAAAAGCAGTAATAGCATGGACCCAGGATCATCTAAGCACTCTTCAAAACAATAAAAGAAGACATCACAATGAACGTCAGTCAGTGTTATGCACTTACCAGAGAAAAAGTGAGGATGGTAAAAATCAATTCTACTAGAGGCTGTAGTCAGTCGTCATGAAATGACCAACAAAGGACATGATCATTCTGATGGGAGACCTGGACGCCAACTTTAGAAAGGAAAACAATGAATATGAAGACACCATAAGATGACATGGACTGGAATGAATGAATGAAAATGGTGAAAGATTAGCAAATCTATGTGCCTCTCACAAAATGGTCAAGATGAAACTGAAACTGAAAAAGCGCTGGATAACTGGGCGAACAGTATTGCAGAAAAGGATTACGGCCTCTCTTTGAGAAAATAGCAAACTCAACGAATTCAAGATAGCTCTCAGCGATACGTTTCATGCATTTGACGAGTTACTCTATCAAGAAGAAACTAACATGGATAACAACTGTAAAAGATGTAGGAAACAGTAATTTTAGCAAGTGAAAATGTTTTTGGCCATAAGAACTAACATCACAAGGAATAGATCTCTGTGGATACTATGATTAAGATTCAAGAAACGAATAACAGGAAGACAGCAACAATACCAGCCCAACAAGAACAAAGAAAACCAGAGCACAGGTCATATGCTAAGAAGCATTAAAGCTAATAAAGAGAAATATGCGCAAGATCTAGCATTGATAGCAGAAAAAGCTTCAGGAGAATAAACATGAAACAAATATACGATATCATGATGAAATTCGTCGGAAAATACGGTAAACCAGGATGACCAGTCAAGAATAAAGATAGCATAACAATTGCCGACACTCAAGAACTGAGAAACAGGTATGTAGAGCTCTTTGAAGAACTCTTGAATCAACCAGCTACACTGAATCTACCCAACACCAAAGCAGCACCTGCGGACCTCCAAATTATTTGTTAACCCACCAACAGTTGGAGAAATCAGTATGGCCATTGGAAAAATCCAGAGTCAGAAAGCAGCAGGATCAGATAAAATTCCAGCTCAGGCATGGGAAGCAAATATAGCAGTAACTGCGAAAATGTTTCAGCAGGACTCGTTAGAAGAACAAGTATCCACAGACTGGGAAAAAGAATAGCTTATTACGGTACCAAACAAAGTAGATCTTAGCAAGTGTGAGAACTTTAGAGGCATCATTCTACCATCAATACCAGGTAAAGTTTCCAACAGTGTTGTTGAACCAAATTAACGATCTA